TTATTGTTTCTTTGAAAAACAATATATGTATGTAATAACATATATACACAAATAATAAAAAATAATAATAAAATAAAATAATGTAATAAAGCTATCAATTATCACTTAAGTACGCATATAAGTCTTACTTTCTGGAGTTTTCAAATATGCAGATTGGTTACTAATAGGTGTATGCATTATGGTCTTCGCCACATCAGATACAAACGTAGGGTTATCAAGACCATGAGCATGAGCTATTGACTCTGTTGAAGCTTTCTGTCTCGTAATAACTGGCGGTTTCTTGCCACTGAGGAATCTATATGATAAAAGATATAAACGTATACGACATACGATAATCAATTATTATTTATTAATAACGTGACAATTTATTATTATTATAAATAATTACTTTGCATATTGAATTTTATGTATGAATATTATTTCTGTGTGATCTTTGCATAAGTATTTTTGAATCGATAGACTTACGATTTCTTTCGAGGAGAATTCAAATTATCGCAGTTTTTGACGTGTAAGATATCGCCGCGATGCAGCTTTATTTGCTTTTTTTCAAAGTATGAATATAAACTGTTGGTCCACTCACCGACTGCACGAATGTGCAGCCACATGTAATCTGTACAAAAACATTATCGATGTCGAATTTGATATATAATTATTGTGTATAAATAAATTTGTTTTTTCTATTAGCAATAAAGAGCATAATCTGCGCGTTGAAAATATTTTAATAATGCAACTTAAATACAAATGTGAGAATAAAGTAAAATTTAAACCTACATTTTGTATTCAGTTATTAGTTTGTTATCAGTAATATCATTTTAAGAAAATTATTCTCGGATTCGATCGGCATAAAATTACAAAGAACAGCTTACCTTCCTGTTCCGGAGCACTGCTAATAGTAAAAGGATGCCATTCGTATCTTGCTATCACCGGAATATTAACAAATATATAATCGCCGGGGTAAAAGTGGAAATTAGTTGGTCTCTTGATGACCAAATGAGTCACCTTCGAAGGTAACAGGAGGCCGGAACTTATATACGTCTTGCCACGCTGCGAACGTAACCATATCAATCGACGAAATTTTTCCACCAAGTATATCACGCCCGGGCCGACAAACCATTTCCAGAAATTTGGACCATGAAAGATTATTAAAATCCAGAACGGTATGTACAGCAGATGAGACCAATAAAATATCTGTGTTATAAATAAAAAATTACGGAATTGTAAAAAGAAAATTTTAAAAAATATATATACGATCAAACAAATTAAAATTAAAAAAAAATAAAAATATAGTTACAATATAATAATACCTCGAAACAACCTCCGCGCCGTACAAATGCCATAGAACAAACCGTCATAATGACAAGTATAATAAACAGAACTACTCCAGTCGGATACGCACCGCCTGCCACCAAACCAAAATATCCAGGCTGACTCGTCAACAACCATTCGGATATCGTGTAATTTCCGCTATTCATTTCCTTGTCTTTGATGATCACCGTACCTATGGATGATACGTAATTAGATATAATTGTTATTAATTATAATTTTATTATAATTGAATATAAGATGAAAAAAAATGTGATCTCGGTTTTTTTCTCTTGAAAAACTCTTGTAAACTTTTTAAATTCCAAATTAAATTATGTATAACACATTATAACTATATACAATATTATAAAAACTGTTAAATATACCGCAATAAATAAGATGCATCAGAGTATGTACAATGCTAAAGATTCCAATCAATATCCCTGTCATTTTATGGAGATACATATGGTGATCTAAAGGCAATACAGAATTAAAACCGTGCGTTCGCAGAAACGTGATGCACTGGCGCAGCATCAGGATCAGAATAAATGTGCAGTCAAAGTTCAGACATTGTCCTAAAATAAAATTTTGCCAAATTAGTTTAGTTCTAAATCTTTTTGCATTGTTCTCTTTTTTAAAGACGTCAATGGAAATTTAGTTTGATATTAAATAGCCAATACTTGCTTGAAAATAATAACTATAAACGTATTAAAAAATTTGTATCTATAAAAATGTATTACATTTATGTGATACATTTAAATATCTAAAACAAATAAATTC